ACGGGTTCGATACAGCGCCGCCATGACGGCGTTTCAACCTCTGACCTTTGGCTTCGCAAGCGTGCGGGTCACGTAGCTGAGGTTGGAGAGGCCCGCCCCCTGCTGCAGAGCGCCAGTGGCCGTTGGGCGTGGCCTATGGGCTCCAAGGGAATTACGGGTTAAAGAAGCTTTATTCGGAATAGGCATATTAAATCGTCGCTGGTGGGAGTCTGCAAAGTTTTGCGTGAAAAGCGCCTTTTTTGGAAGTTTATATTTTATTTTTATCCATGTAATAGCACCCGCAGAAGGGTCTTGATGCACCACCTCCCCCCGGCCTCAGCCAGCTGGGGGTCACAGGATCTCAGGCGCGTGCGCCCCGAGAATATACAGGTAGATTCTTGTACAGCGAACATAGACCTTCTCACGTGTAACCAGCGTCAGTTCGACTTGGAAAAATGTCGCTCTCCAGGGCATCCTTTGCTCCTCGCTGTGAATTCTGGTAACTTAGACACTTGCTGGTCCCTCACCTCTGTAACTCTAGGTGCCTGCGTGGCTCGCCCCACCCAGCTCTTTGGGTCTTCGCTGCGTGACTCGCCCCACCCAGCTCTTCGGGTCTTCGCTGAAATTAAAGATTCTCCCCATTACCCTGTTTAGGTTTAACTATTGCACCACCAAGGACCCCACCCGCAGTTTTGATTTTTCTCCCTTTTCTTCCCCCAGTATCAATTATTAGAATTTGCCCACCCTTTTCAAAACTGAGCCTAACACTGTATTTGAGAGTAACTAAGTTCTCCACTCATGATTTATCCAGTAGTTTTACATTAAACCATAACTTATTATTTGAGGGGAGAGCGGTAAGCACCACCTTTCCAGTTCATTTGTGATTTGAGAACACAAATTTTTATTTTTGACCAAATTATTTTAATTTTAAACTTATTCATTTATTTTAATTTGACCAGAGAGGGACAAAGAGAGGAAGAGAGGGAGAGGAGGAAAGTGAGAAAGCAAGCCGCCAGGTCCAGGACTTGAACCGTGGTCAGCCATGTGGGAGTCCAATGCCTTTAACCACCATGCCACCTGCCAGCCCCATGACCAAATTATTTTTTAAAGAATTATTTAATATTATTTATTATTACTGTTATCTTTTAATTTGCTACAGGTCACACTTGCTAACGAGAGAAAGAAAGGAAAAGTGAGAAACCAAGCTGCCAGGTCCAGGACCCAAACCACTGTTGGCTGTGTGGGAGTCCAGCACCCCATCCACTAAGTCATCTGCAGCACCCCATCCACTAAGTCATCTGCTGGCCCATTATGGCCAAATTCTAGTAACAGCTTCATGAATTTTAAATGTTCCTGGTGCTCCCAAACTAATAGCATAGACAACATAACAGAACACCGAAAGTAGTGACCTTGGAATGGTTACATGATCCATCTAAGATTTATTATTTCTAACCAAGTGTAGTGTCTTAGAAATTCAGTAGGAGGCTTGAGATTTATTCTAGTACAGGTGTGTTTTCCCTCTTGGCGCTTGCACTGTTCACTTCCCTTGACTATTAATGGACTCTTGCCTAAAACAGTTTGATAGTCTGGTTGCTTCCACTTCCACTCGGTACAGTAAATTGCCCACAGCATGGTCAGGGACCTGAAGAACCCCAAATCTAGCCCCAACTCTGATCCTGATCATTTCTTTCTTTACTTGTAAAACCGAGCTATGACCTGTGCCAAGCTGAAGTGCTTTGTAAACTTAACTACAGTAAGCATGGCCAGCATGGATGGATTACTAAAGTCCTTGCTCTAAAATTCAATAGATGTTATCTATCATATATAGTGGCTCTCCTCAGCCAACTGATAAATTCCTCCAGGGTTGTAACAACAGGCTTTTGGGAACAATATCTGTAGTTCTTAATGTATTTGTTGATGGACTGTATGTATCCACAAGATAAGTATGACACATCTTCCGAAGCCTTCTGTTTTACTTACAGAAGATTGGAGGATACTTTCACATAACTTTTTTTTAAGTAGAAAACAAAGTTCATCTGAATTTGTAGCTGACTTCAAGTTATGTGTTAGTTCTCTGGTAGAGCATCAAATGGGAGGAGCTATGAAGAACTGAGCAAGTCAACAAGGGACATGTCTAGACTTCTTACCTATACAAGCACCAACAGAAACATCAGCAGTAACAGTGTTTTCACATCTTCATGGCACCTTAAGGAGTCTGATCCTGCTTCCACTGCACCTTCCTTCTATTAAAAAACAGACCTCTCTTTACCTCTCCATACCTTTCAAACTGTTAGAAGCATTGCAAAAAAAAAAAAAAAAAGTGCTAATAATGGCAAATACCAAGGAAGGTGAATAGAATGAAGTTCAAATACTGGTTTCACCAGATATGGCCTCATCCATAAAATGACACTACTGCATCTCTGCTAAAGAATTAAAATACAAAGATGTGTCAAATGCCTGTGCAAGGACTACACAGTGGCCCAGTGTTAAGTGTTCTGTAAGGTAACCCCACATGGCAAGGTTGCTGGTTCTAGTATAGAGACCTCCCTAAGTATTCAAAGCACATGCTTGTACATGATCCAGAAAACTGGATGGTGTCAAGACCCTTTTGGGGGTGCTGTCTCTCCTCTTTCTCTCTTACTGTCTCATTCATGGAAGAAAAAAGTTTAAAAAAAAAGAAAAGCCTTTTAACCACATGTGAAAACTTGGAAGAAAGGACGGGAGATTGGGGACCAGTTTCCAGATTGACATGTACATGGCAGGCCACACACATGCCACAGTCCTCACCTGCTTGGGAAAAGGGAGAGGTAAGGATAGAGGCGTGATACCCTGTTGAATGCCTTTTTCTCTTGCTCTCCCTCTCGTGAGAGAGGTATATGAATGTTTTTCTCTTGCTGTCCCTCTCATGAGAGAGGTATGTAAATGAACTTTAAAAGAATCCTAGAAACCACAGGAAACTAAAGCATGTTACACTCAAAAAAATTACACTCAAAACAATTCTGATTGGAATACCCATCAAATTCATTATATTACCATCCACCCTCAGTATGTTAACATCAAAATTACATACAAGGGGGTGGCAAGAATTTTAGTTCCAAATAGCGTTTATTTAAGTATGAAATTCTGGCAGGTGATAGGCACATGCAGCCCCTGCCCTTGGAGGGCTTACAAACTAAGAGGAATACGCCTTTTGGTTTATTTTGATTTCTGAGTCAGAACATGGAAATTATGAGATCTAAGATTTGCAGAGTTACTTAAAAGTGATGTTTCATATTAGCTGTGACCCACATGTGATCTCTATAATCAGAATGAGATAGTTACTAAAAATAAGGACAAATCAATAGCCAACTGGCCCTTCAGTATGGTAAGTCTGAATTTTCACACCCACATCCACCACCCACTCTACCAGCCACTTCCTTCCCCTTACTGTCATTAGCATTCATACCAATCCTGCTACCATCACACCTTCAGATCCTCTGGGTGGCGGGTGTGAGATAATGAAATTAATAAAAATAAAGATTACAAATTATAAACTTGTTTACAAGGGAAAAAAAACTTTTGTATCATCTTAAATAGTTCACAATAGTATTAGTTAATTTATCTGTCATCAAAAGAGCACTCTGCCTAAAAGAAAGGTCAGACTAGTGCGTAAAATGTTTATACTCTTGCAAAATTGTACTTTTCCATTAATTTGTAAGCCATTGTTAGAAATACTATTTTTACTATTGGTACATGTAAACTTACAACTAAAATTTATTTTGTCAGTGTTTTTTGAATGAACTGAATAAAGTTTCTGTAAAAAAAAAATATGAATTTTTATCTGGGTTTTAAGAGCTATAAAGAAACACATGATTCTGAAAAACTGTCTTCTATGCTGCATCTCTTCTGGCACATGCAGAGCAAATAGTCATTTAATAAGTGCTTTTTGGTAGCCACATGCAGCATTTCTCAGTTTTGCTTGATAATAAGATTTAATACAGCTGCTTATGGTTATTTATACCTCCAGGAAATGAAAAATTTGGAAGAACTTGCAGAATGGACTCACCCCTTTCCTCAGCAGACAGGTAATACATACAAAAGAATCCATACCCAAATGATAGAATTTTTATTGTTTCCAAATACTTTACAGAAAATAATGTGTCTCTTGATTAACAGGTCCAGAAACAGTCTAAATGAAATGTGTTTTCTCTATTTCAGTAGTTACTCTGAGTTGCTAAAATGATAGTCCAATTAATGAGTTTCTTCCATTGATTACTTTGGCCTTATAACCATCAGAACTTTTGCTTTATTTCTCACAAACTCCATAAATTAAGGACATTCCGTTTTTAAAAAAATGAAATTTTTCAGGGATATTTTCTTCTCTTACACTCTTGAGTCCTTAAATATCTGAGATTTATTCTCCTGCTGTTTTATAATATCAAACACAAACACAATGGAGTAACCGGAACCTCTTTCTGATATTCCTAATTACTATGCTTCAAATTTCTTAAATATCTGTGAATTCATAATATTGATTCTGCCTCAAAGTCCATTTTGAATAATTTTTTAATCCATATATTTATTTTCCTCAATTCTTTGTCATTGTTTTTACTATTTTATTTAAAAGGCAGAGTGCTTTGCATAGATTGTTAGGTTGTTTAAAGTAGATGAGTGTCTACAAAAGTTATTTTCCAGTTTCACAACTGTCCCTAATACCCATCTACTAACTCCCATCCCACTTCCTGCCCCCAAATATAGCATTTTTCCCCCATATAGACAATAAAAAAGATTTGACATTTCACTCAACTCAAGAAATTTCCATCTTAACTTTGTTTTGTCTTGTTGAAAACACAGTAACAAGACAGAACACCCAAGAAACAATGTGATGAAAAGAAAAAGGTTGGAATAAAAAAATAAAAGACCAGTAAGTTGGAAGAAAAAATAATTTAACAGTTAGGTTGAATAACACAAAATTTCTATGAAAAGACAAATTTCCACACTTCCACTCCTCTGGGACAGTGTTTCAACAACTTTTGCCTTAAAACCCCAAGAAGGAAATTATTTAGAATATATTTGTCTGGTACCATTAAGCAGTGATTTAAAGTAGATGGTAAAAAAAAATTGCTTTGTTTTTAAAGCACAAACATCAGTTGATCTTTAATATATCTAGCTGTTTCCAGACCACTGGTCTCATAATGTTGAGACCTACACTACTGATATACAGAATTTATTCAGTTTTTCACATGTAATAGAGCATAGTTCAGTTGTATCCAATGTGCTAACAAAAGCTCTAGCAATCAAAAATGGCAGCATTATTATTTCATAACAACCAACACTTGTGGCTTTTCAAATTTGGTTTTTGTAAAATAATCTATCCTCAAGAATCCAGTCATGCTCTGAAGAAATGCTTTAGGTCACTCTAAGCTTGGCAATTAACATTTGGCATAAACAATAATAAAATTATCACAATTTGATAAATAACAAATATCAAACATGTAGGCCAAAAACATTTACAGCATAAGGGAAAGGTGGGAGTGATGAGTAAGTTAGAATGGCATGGCCTATATGCATTCAGCCAGAGACTTTGAGTCATTCAGCCCTGACACTCCTTTCCAGAGGGGAAAGTGTCCACATCATCATTTTACAATTTCTATCACACTGAAAACAAGTAAAACAATGAGTTGATTTTTATTAATGCATTACATCCTCAAGAGTTAACACCAAACCCTTGTGTAAAAAAATTTCAAGTTATACTAGTCATATAACTCTGTGTGCTTCTTTATTTAAAATGGGGCTGAATGGATTAAATGAAGACAATGATGTTTCTCCTGATGTGATTGATTTTAGCATTTTTGTAGCTACTTAGATCAAAAACACTTAGAGGCTTTTGAACTGAACATTCATGAATACGCTCATATTTTGATCTGCTGATAACACAAGTATGCTTGATTCTGAATGTATTGTTGGTTTGCCCAGAAATTAAAATTTTAACCTGGTAAAAATAAATTGATACAGTGGCATAATAACTGACACACTGCAATGGTTACTGTCACAACAACAGTAAACAAGATTTGGGGGCTCCACAATCTAGTAGTTGGGATTACTCTACATACTGTCACTTACAAAACTATTACAAACTGGATATAGACTTGTTTGCTTGAGTCTGATGTCTTAAGATACCCAAGATATATACCTTATACCAAAACAGTGTTTACTCAAAAAAAAAAATTTGTGTGTAGCTAGTAACTCTTCCCTTGGAGGTAAATAAAATGGTACCAAATTTTTAATATCTACGATTCAAAACAATTTTTAAAAGTAATTTTAGTTAGAAATCAAATACAGAGATTCAAGGAAGAAAAGAAAATCTAGACTACAAAAAGCAAACTGACATCCCAGATCCAGAACAATTTTGTAAAGTAGGAAAGCAACTGTTAAAACCTGCAAGTTCTTAGATCTTTCTAGTGAGTGTCCCCAGGTATTACAGTGTTTTTATAACAGTGTTTTCTAAATAATGGGCCTTGAGTGCACAGTAAATGGTGTTTCCAGGGAATAGAGGTGAGGATACTTCCTTTTGTTTAACCCACAAACTATTTGGTCAAAGGAATATGTAAAGCTAAATAAAGCACATCTAGTAGAACTTCATGGCGATGAATGTTGACAAGATGTGCTTGGGTCTCGCAGCATCTGGCAGTGGGTAGCAGGACAAAGGTAGGAATCTCACAGGCTCTCCTGTGTCTGCTCTGGAAGAGGCTCCGTGGCGGTGGCACTGGCATTTGCGGTTGAATTCAAGACTTCTCCAAAATCACCACCCGCAGGCTTGGTTCCCCCTACTTTAGACTTAAAAAAAATTAAAAAAAGAAAAAAAAAACAAACGATGCAACATAAAATTAGCTGGCTTTGCATAAAGTAACTTAATTTTACTCTCAAACAAATCAGGAACCAAATTACTCAGTGATTATTACATATATAAGTAGAATTTACTTCTGTTGCAATGTTCAATATGGTTTACCATGCATTCTTCCTTGCTGAAATATTCAGATCAATAAGTTTTACCTCTCCTTTTTTTCCATCTTCTCATTATTCTTTACAGGCAAATCTGTCTAAAAACTTTGTAGGGCCTATTAGTCTAAAATATTTAATTAACTCTCTTTATCTTTGGGTAACATTTTATATAGCATCATATTGTTCAGTCAGCTACACTCATTCAAGAAACATTTTAGTACTTAAAACCTTCATAGGGGACCAGCAGTTGGCATAATGGCTATGTCACTTGACTCCCATGTAGTCGACCACAGTTCAAGTCCTGGACCCGGTGGCTTAAACTCACACCAGGCACGTATGCGTGCATGCCCAATATCCATGGAGGAGAAGGGATTGTGGTGTGGCCATCCTCCCTAGGTGGTGATTTCTCGCTTTCTGCCTTTCTTTCTGGCAAGCGTACATGGTGCCCTAGAGCAAAAACTTATCAAAAATAATTAAAAAAAAAAAAACAAACTTCTTAGAAATGAAGAATCTTAGAAACCCTCCCACCCAACTCCAACTACAGAATTGAAATTTATACTTAACAAGATCCTCAAGTGATTTATGTGCTTACTATATTGGGTCGCAAAAGTTCTGACATTTTTTTAAATTTATTTACATTCATTCACTATACATCATTACAACAAACAATGAGATTTCCCATCCAGAATACACTTTATATTGGCTCAATCAAGCACATCAACATACGTGTTATCGTCAACAAATAATTTTCGATTTCTTGTTTCCTGTATATTTTGTTATTTTTGCCATCCTTGATTCCCTATCTCTCACTCTCTGCTGTGCCTCACCCTCCCACACTGTCTCTGGTATCCATGGTTGCTCTCTATGCCTCCTCTCCCCATTTTATTTATTCACTAATGAACTTAATCTAAATACATCCAATAGCAAGCGCAGCTGATATACACATATCCATGAACACAAGTCTGACTTTAGGCATAAATCTCAGTGAGTAGAATGAACATACTATAAAGTAGTACCTAGCTGGGACTACATAGCTTACTGCAGTCATCAAATATGCGTTTTTTTATTTCGAGAAAAATCATTTTCGTGTTTTTTTCTCCTGAAACTTTTTTAATTCATTCATTTTATTTTAATTTGACAAGAGAGAGATACACACAGAGAGAGAGGGAAAGTGAGAAAGCAAGCCACTGGGTCCAGTATTTGAACTGCAGTCAGCCATGTGGGAGTGTCCAGCACCATAACCACCACGCCACCTGCTGGTCCCCCTCCTGAAACTTTTTTTTAATTTACATTCATCCCCTAATCATTGTCACAGCATACAAAAAGTGGTTTCCCATCCAGAATATACTGCATAGTTACTTAATCTTGTATGTTATCAATAATTTTCCATTTCTAGTTTCACACACACTTATTTACTTATTTATTTATTTATATTTACCCCTATGTCTGACCCTCTGCCCTTTCCCACCCTCTTCTCGCACTATCTCTGGTGTCTACAGTTGTCTTCCATTCCTTTTCCTCCCCACATTTTATTGATCACACAATTTCTTAAATAGTCTAACTACTTTCGATAGCTAATTCACCTGGTAATTTCAAGAAAAGCAGTTTCGGGACCAGCAGGTGATGTGGTGGTTAAGGTGCTGGACATTCCTACATGGCTGACCATGGTTCAAGTCCTGGACCTGTTAGCTTGCTTTCTCAGTTTCTCCCTCTCTCCTTCTGTGAGTCTCTCTCTGGTCAAGTTAAAAAAAAAATGAATGAATGAATGAATAAAATAAAATATTTTTTTTAAAAAAGAAAAGCAGTTTTGAACTGGTAAGGAAATTTGCT